ATTGATTCTTAATTCATCCTGTCATCTCATAGAGGTTTTTAAGTTATTTGTTATAACAAATGTTGTTGTTGTTGTTGTTTGCCGTCGAGTCGGCCCCGACTCATAGCGACCCCTCCTTGGGTTTCCGATGCAGTATCACTATGGAAGTAGGATTGCCCAACCATCCTTCCGAGGAGTGGCTGGTGGGTTTGAACTGCCATCCTTCTGGTGAGCAGTCAGCATTACTGATTTATAATTAGTACATTAATTATCTGCATTCATTAACTAGTTAATTTATTCCACACTCATTTATTTTCTACTCTGTATGTAAAATAAAAGAAAAACAAACCAAACTCACTGCTGTTGAGTCAGATCCAACTCATAGAGACCCCTCCTTGGGTTTCCAAGGTGGCAGTATCACTACAGAAGTAGATTGCCCAAGTATGTAAAACAGGTATTTTTGAAATGCTTGAAAAGTTATTCTCTTATGTTTCTTAATATATCCACATTATAATCTCATTTATACAATTGAATTACATTGCTTATGAAATAATTGTTTGCTAAATAAACATAAACTTCAGCAGAACCCTTATGCTATATGTCATGCATTCTGATTTCTTGTGGGTTGATGGTATGTTAATGGTTTCTGTCCTCTAAGGTTTTACTATCATATGGCCCACTAATATGTATGTTGAATTTAGCTAATGAAACTATTCAGTTTTAGGATAGTGATCTCTCTGTTGAACGATATTATCTCCATCTTAAAAGTTGATTTAAGATCAGCTTTTGAAGTGAGGAGAACAATAAGAAAGATTAAGGGTTGGCCTCTAACCTCAGAATGTGTGGTTCTTTGGTGCTTCATTTCTAAGAGGATATTGGCAGCCTCTTAAACATGATTTGCAGCTTGCAGCCCCTTGCAGCTCTCAAGGAAAGGTGCTAACGTTGATCTTTGTAGCTGATGTACGTTTTCGAGGCTTTTAAATAGGAGTGCCTTCCTGGAACCTGCCGTGCTCACAGACACACACTTTGTCATTAAATAAATTTTGTGTCTGCTGATTTAGTATTTTCGTGATATGTAATATTAATCTGCTTATCTTTCTATAATCTCCCATTATAGAACTCAGAATGCACACTGTATTTTTACAGTGGTCCTGCATTAATCTGTAGACAAATTTTGTTTTATTGCTCTCTTGATACTCCGGAGTAATATTTCTGGAACAAAATTTAGAAAAAATGAAGTTTCTGAAGATCTTTTAATTATTATTTTACTATAAATTACCCCTAGGTCTTTTTGGGCAAGCAATCTGTATTAATGTATATCCAAGCGTATATATTAAATAAGACTACATATCTTTTCCTAAATGTTGCATGTGATTAATAAACTGCAAATAGTTATATAAGATACAATCGGTAAGTTTCATGGTAGTAACTCCTTCTTTGATTTGTGTACAGTACTGTAACAGGAAGCCAGATAGATTACTTTCTTTCACTGGCGCCTCAAATGTTTCCTTATAGTACATACCCTGCTTTCTAATGTCACAAGGTGGTTCTAATAATAAACTTTAAAGCATGTGGTTACTTTGGGATTGCTTACCTTACATTTTTTTTAACCTCCAGTGTACCTCCTGCTGCAACAAACATAGCTATATTTTAGCTGTCAAAAAAAAAAAAAAAAAAAAAAAATCAAGCCATCAGACATAGTTAACATTGCATGGCAATATTTTCTGCATGAAAGAGGTTAAAGTGTATTATATAAAATAAACAATCTAACAGAAGGCAGATGCTCCTGAAGTTTGGAGCTGAAACCAATAATTCATGTATTGATTGATTTAATTTTTAATAGGGAAGGAGAGTTATTTCATGTATATTCCTTGATTACTTCTCAGAAATAAAGCATGTGCCTCCTATTCATACTTTCTTTAAAAATATTTTACATTCATCTTGGTCTGCCTGATGTTAAAATATTATTCAACTAATAGTGGACATGTTTAGAATGTTTATTAAAAATTCTGGGTAAGATAAATTTCTTGAAAATCTGAGACCCCTTTGGAGTTTCATGTGCAATTTGAAGCAGTTAGAGAGGAGCAGATGATTAAGTAGACCCTGTGAATCTCAGGAACTCTGGAATGTTACTGCCATAGCCTCGGGACATGCTCTCCTCAGTGAAGCTTTTGAAGGCCTGATAACAGTTGAAGAAACATAAACTATTCTTAAGCCCTGTCCCAACCTATCTGGCTTCACCTTGCACATTATCTCTGCCCATGACTTTGCTTCTGTAATAACCCCTGTTTCGAACAACCTCCGTTCAAAAACCTTTCTTAATCTCCAAAGTCCAGTAGAAACGGGGGCTTTTCCACAGACTTCTTGGACCATTAAAGTCGGGACTGGTCTCTTTTTCTCTAGAAATTCTATGGCATTTGTTGGTGGTGTCATTCATTTGGGCAGTTGCCTTATACTCTGCAACATGCTGATATCTGTATGTTTTGCATGACTGTTTTGTTCACCCAGCTTATTGCCCAGTGTGGTTATGAAGGGTAGGAACTATCAGACTCTTTTCCATCCCTTGCAGCACCTGCTAGTAACCAAAGCCAGTAACATGTTGAATGAATGAACTTTCACTAAATGGGTTCATTTATACCTCTTCATTTGCTTTTAGCATGATTTTGAACATTCCATCTTTTCTAACTACTCTAGTTTACCAGGAAGAAATATTGGCGGGGGGGTAGAAAAGAAAGAAAGCTCACATTTATTGAGCACTGATGCTGGGCTTTTTTTTTTTTTTTAATCATTCCTTATCTCATGTCATCTTCAAATCATCTGTGATAGGTTATTGCTATTATTTCCATTGTACAGTTTAGAAAACTGAGGCACATGGCTCATAAGTGTAACAGGGAATTTTAACTAAAAGGCTATCTCTCCCAAGATTCTGCTCATTATAGCACAATATGCTGCTTCACAGATTTGTTCAAGATGTCTAGAAATACATTTTTAAAATTTGAACAGATGCAATCCATTGTAGAAAACCAATACTTTCATACAAAAACTTCAATTCATAATATATTAGCAATTTCAGAAGGATTGCTTAATTTAAAAAATACTTTCCATACAACTTGATGAATATATTTTAAATGATTTATAAAGTTGTAGCATAAAATTAAAAAAAAAAAAACCCAAAATATAAATATTGACTAATGTCACCCTTCCCATTCATATATGAAAACTGAACATTTATTTTTAGAAAACCTTGGCTTTATTTTATATTCACTTATATGTCTTTCATACTTATATACCTATAAAATTTTATATTCATTTAAAACTCCTAATACAAGATTTAGGAGCTCTGGTAGCACAGTGCCTAAGGCACTTGATGCTAACCAGAAGGCTGGCGGTTCAAACCCACCAGCCACTCCTCGGAAGGAAGGTTGGGCAATCTGCTTCTTTAGTGACACTGCCTTGGAAACCCAAGGAGGGGTCACTATGAGTCGGATGCTACTTGATGGCACATAACAACAACAATACAAGATTTAATTATATCAAACAATTATAAATATCAATTCTAACATTTTCTAATGTTAATGTTAACATTATATCATTATAATAATATTTATTTGTAAGCTATTCTATGTTTATGAATTAAACAATGGTTTGGTTTTTGAGAGTTGGGGCTGAGCTATAGGAAACACATCTTCTGTTTCTTCAGAGTTATCTATAGACTAGTGGGGTGACAGGTGTAAAGGACTGAATGAAGAGAGGGTTCAGGGTTGGAGGCAGGGAAAGTGGTAATCAGTGATGATATTCTGAGGGCCTCAAGTTTTCAAACTTTGGTATTATTATCCTAACAAAGTTCTTAAGTCCTCCCCAACCTTAGTTCCACCATCTGTGCCCAGAGGCATGGAAAATACCAGTTTATTGCATTTGAATGGTGTGACAAATGCTAATGTCACTCCTAATGTTTCTTTTTGTATTTGTCCTCAGCGCCTATAACCCAGGGAACTGGAGTCAATTTTCCAATTGGAGAAATCCCGAGCCAACCATATTATCATGACATGAACTCGGGGGTCAATCTTCAGAGGTCGCTGTCTTCTCCACCAAGCAGGTAACTGAAAGAGGAGCTGATGTTTTCTCATGTTCTTGCTATATAAGAATACATTGGCAGGTAGAGAGATAATGCAGGTAGGTAGATAAGAGGATAGGTAGATCAAGGAAACAATACAAATAGTTCAAGATTGCCAATTTTACAGAGACTTCTTAATTTTTCTTGGTTATATATATATATATATATATATATATAATATTTGCCAATTAAATGTAATTGTTGTTCAAAACCCTTTTTATGTCTTTTCTTTTTGAGCAAGAGAACTACAAAAATGTATTCATATGGTTCCCACCTGTTCTATGAAAGATACTAGTTTCATAGTTAATATTTTTGACTATTTTTAAAAATAATGTCATCATTGCTTCAGACCATCCATCCAGCCTTGTAACTTTCAACTAATACAACATCCAAGTTGGGATAATGAGACATCAAAAATAAAATCTGTCATTTATTTAATCTTAAAAGTAAAAAACAACACTCATCTGTCAGTTTGTCATTATGTGGTGACTTGCACATTGCTGTGATGCTGGAAGCTATGTCACTGTTATTTCAAATTCCAGAAGGGTCATCCATGGTGGACAGGTTTCAGTGGTGCTTCCAGATAAAGACAGAGTAGGAAGAAGGGCATAGTGGTCCATTTCTGAAAACACTGGCCACTGAAAACTTTATGAATAGCAGTGAAGATGAGCTCCTCAGATTGGAAGGCACTGAAAATATGGCTGGGGAGTGCTGCCTCCTCAAAGTAGAGTTGATGCATTGATAGATACTGGTGATTGGAATCCAACAGTTGGAGACAAAGAAGCACCAGTAGTCGAAAAATACAGCCTTGATGATCAAAATTACAAAGCGATCGCATGATAGAATTTTTCAAGACCAACAACTTATTCATTGCACATACCTTTTTTCAACAACATAAATGGCGACAAGACATGTTGATCCCTCCAGATGAAATACACAAGAATGAGATCGACTGTATCTGTGGAAAGAGACAATGGAGAAGCTCAGTATCATCAGTGAGAAAAAGGCCAAGGGCTGACTGTGGAACAGACCATCAGTTGCTCATATGCAAGTTGAAATTGAAGCTCAAGAAAATTAAAACAAGTCCACAGGAGCCAAAAATATGTCCTTGAGTATATTCCACCTGAATCTAGAGATCAACTGAAGAATAGATTTGATGCATTGAACACTAATGACCAAAGACCAGACAAGTTATAGGATGACATCAAGGACATCATACATGAAGAAAGCAAAAGGTCATTAAAAAGACAGGAAAGAAAGAAAAGACCAAAACGGATGTCAGAAGAGACTCTCAAACTTCCTCTTGAAAGGAGAGTAACTAAAGAGAATGGAAGAAATGAATGAAGTAAAAGATCTGAACAGAAGATTTCAAAGGGTGACTCAAGAAGACAAAGTAAAGTATTATAATGAAATGTACAAAGACCTGGAATTAGATAATCAAAAGACAAGAACACACATGACATTTCTCAAGCTGAAAGAAATGAAGAAAAATAAATCAGCCCTTGAGTTGCAATATTAAAGGATTCTGTGGGGAAAATATTGAACAATGGAGGAAGCATCAGAAGAAGATGGAAACAACACACAGAGTAACTGTACCAAAAAGAATCGGTCGATTTTCAGCCATTTCAGGAGGTAGCATATGATCAAGAACCCATGGTGCTGAAGGAAGAAGTCTGAGCTGCACTGAAGAAATTGGAAAAAAAAAAAACAAAAAAACAAGGCTCCAAGAATTGGTGGAATACCCATTGAGATATTTCAAGGAGATATTCCTGTTTCAAGAGACAGATGTAACACTGGAAGCCCTTACTCAGTTATCCCAAGGAATTTGGAAGCAGCTAGTTCCTTGGCCAACCAACTAGAAGAGATCTATATCTGTGTCTATTCCAAAGAAAGATGATTCATTAGAATATGGAAATTGTCAAACAATACCATTAACATCACATGCAAGTAAAATTTTGCTGAAAATGGTTGCAGGTGTACATCAACAAGGGAACTGCCAGAAATTGAAGGCAGAGTCAGAAGAGGATGTGGCATGAGGGATAACATGCTGTTGTCAGTTGGACCTTGCTGATAGCAAAGAATACAAGAAAGGTATTTACCTGTGTTTTATTAACTCTGTGTAGGCATTTGACTGTATGGATTATACCAAATTATGGATAACATTGTGAGGAATGGGAATTCCATATCACTTAATTGGGCTCATGAGGAATCTGCACATAGACCAAGAGATAGTCATTCAAATAGAATTAGGGGATACTCCATGTTTGAAAATCAGGGAATGTGTGCCTCAGAGTTGTATCCTTTTACTATACTTCTTCAATCAGTATGTTGAGCAAATAATCCTAGAAGTTGGACTATATGAAGAAGAAAGCTGCATCAGAATTGGAGGAAGACTCATTAACAATCTACAGTGAGCAGATGACACAACCTTGCATGCTGAGAGTGAAGATTTGAGGTACTTACTAATGAAGATCAAAGACTACAGCCTTCAGTATGAATTACACTCCAACATAAAGAAAACAGTCCTCACAACTAGGCCAATAAGCAACATCATAGTAAAGGAAAATAAGATAGAAGTTGTCAAGGATTTCATTTTATTTGAATCCACAATCAGCACTCATGGAAGCAGCAGTCAAGAAATAAGAGGAAGTACTGAATTGGGCAAATCTTTAAAGACCTCTTTAAAATAGTAAAGAGCCAAGATATCACTTTGAAGACTAAGGTGTACCTGACCCATGCCATTGACTTTTCAGTAGCCTCAATTGCTGGACAGTGAATATGGAAGACCACAGAAGAATTGATGGATTTGACTTACAGAGTTGCCAAAGAATGTTGAGTATACCACGGACTGCCAGAAGAGCAAACAAATCAGACTTGTAAGAAGTACAGCCAGAATGCTCAATGAAAGAGAGAATGGTCAGACTTCTCTTATAATTTGGTCATGCTATTAGGAGAAACCAGTTCCTGGAGAGGGATATCATGCTTGGTAGAGAGTCAGCAACAAAGGGAAGACCATCAAGCAGATGGATTGACATGGTGACTGCAGCAATGGGCTCAAGCGTAGCAATCATTGTGAGGGTGGTTCTGGTGTACATAAGGTCTTTATGAGTTGAAATTAACTTGATAGCCCCTAGCAACAACAAAATAAATAAATAAAAGGCCTAACATAGTTCTTCAACTTGTCAATGTTATTTGAGTGATGTAAAAAAATCTCGGTAACCAATGAAACTATTACCTGCTGCTGAGTTTTGGTTTTACCAGCATAGGCATAGTTTGGATATCAATGTGAGAGGTTTCTTTGCTTTTTAGTTCTGTGTTGATAACGTTAGGAGCTTTGGTGGTACAGTGGTTAAAGCAATTGACTGCTAACCAAAAGGTCAATGGTTCAAACCTACCAGCCGCTCCACAGGAGAAAGATTAAGCAGTCTGCTTCCATAAACATTTAGAGCCTTGACAACACTGTGGGGAGTTCTCCCCTGTTATATAGGGCCAGTTTGAGTTAGAATCTACTAGATGGCAGTGGGTTTTGTTTTTTCCATTGACATTCATATTTTCTCTTTGACTTTCTAATTGTAAATTTCAATCTTACAGGAGTTGAAAAAGAACAGGGCTATGAGGTTTCCTTTTTAAATGAGGGATTAATAACTTGGAAGTTGTGCATTGGATTTCATGATGACATGTTTCACTATTGTAGAATGACAGAAGAGATCTTAGTTAATGAGTAAAAAGATTGATAAATATTACTGCTTTCTAGTTTATTTTGTTTTGGGTTGTATCATTAATATATGAAGATCCATATCATTTTCAGAGCATTAACTATACCCATGGTGAAACATAAAGGCATACATGAGTTTCAGAACAAAATATACATTTTGTATCTTCACACTTCTAAAAATAAAAGTGTATATGGATAAATATTTTTAATGATGACAGTTAATTGCATTTGAATTAATTCTGTGTATGCTTGTAAACTAAGATTAACTTTATAACATTTATGATCAAACTACATTTTGAGATAGATCAGGTATCAAAATAATTGTGTTATTACCACTAAAATTGTCTCTGATATGTTGTGGTGTTAAAAATGCTTTAGTTTTTCTATGTAAATAGCAATAATTTTCAGTTTGTCTGATTAATCAGTATGTAGTCAACACAGATCTTCCCTTTTGGCCCTCAGTATCAGATATTATGTCATTCATAACAGACAAGGTATAAAATTTTTCCTCTAGTACTTCCTTATGAACATTATTTATCTCCCATTTCAAGTTTTCTAGACATAAGTACTGCCAACTCACAGATGAGATAATTAGATTAAAGAATGGTTAATATATATATAAAGTTCTAACTTGGATACTATAGGAAGAAACTAAAGAAATACTATATACTCAAACCATAGTTTACTATAGATAGAAATTCCCATCTTTTACACCATATTAATACTCTGGGAATTATGTTGTTGTTGTGATGTGCTACCAAGTGGGACCTGACTCATAGCAACCCCTCCTTGGGTTTCCAAGGCAGTATCACTACAGAAGTAGATTGCCCAACCTTCCTTCCGAGGAGTGGCTGGTGGTTTTGAACCGTCAGCCTTCTGGTTAGCAGTCAAGTGCCTTAGGCACTACGCTACTAGAGCTCCTTGGGAATTGTGAGTCGAACATTAATCACAAGTAAATCCACGAATATACCTGACATGCATGTGCTTCAAGGGCTTGGAAATGTGGTGCACTGGAAAGACCAGAGACTTGAATGTCAGAGTCCCTCTTTGGAGGTTTGCTGTTAACTTGCCTTGGGCCAGTCAGAGATTTACAAATCTCTCTCCCCATTTGTAAAAACAGAGATTGATTTATGTGTATGATTTCAGAGGTCATTTGCAGCTCTGAAATCATATGATATTATGCTTATTGGTAACGTAGTGCCTAAGGCACTTGACTGTTAAGCAGAAGGCTGGAGGTTCAAACCCACCAGCCACTCCTTGGAAGGAAGGTTGGGCAATCTACTTTCGTAGTGATACCACCTTGGAAACCCAAGGAGGAGTCACTGTGAGTCTTGTCTGACTCAACAGGATATAACAACAACAACAACAACAAAGTTAACTCAGAAAATCTCTTCCTTTGGTGTTTACCCACACAGGCGTGGAATAAGAAATTTCTCAGTAATTGAAGTAAAAGTTATATCCATTTCAATGGCAATAATTAACTGTGTAATAGGGTATTGGTAGAGGTATCAGAAAACAGTGTATCAGGCAAATTGTCACATATTGTGTACTTGTTCTAAATATTCACTTTTCTCCATGGCGTAAGCCTTGTTTTCCTTACTGGAATGTTTCTCTTCCAAAGTATACTCTTCAGTTTGAATTTGGCAATGGCCTTATTTTCAGGGCTGATCTTAAGAATCAATAACCTAATATTTAGGAAAAGATGAAGAATATGTGAATAGCTTATAATCACAAAAGTCCTATAAAATATTTTTATTAGTAGTTATAGGGTTATTAATAATAATTACTATTTAATAAGGATCTTCTAAATGTGAGCCACTTAACTAAGAGCTTTACATTTAACATACACACACACAACCCGAACTCACTGCCATCAAGTCATAGCAACCCCCAGTGGGTTTCTGAGTTGGTAAATCTTTATGGAAGTAGATTGTCCCAACTTCCTTCTTAGGAACGGCTGTTTAATACCTCTTTTAATTCACTCACCCACTCTTCTTTGAAATGAGTCTTATTGTTTCCATTTTACAGATGATCAAGCCACGTTAGAAAGGTTAAAGAGCTTGGGATTAAGAAGTAGTGAGTGGCCTTCCTCATAGTGACCCTATAAGATGGAGTAAAACTTAAGTCAGAATCAACTTGATGGCAGTATGTGGTAGTCATGGTGAAGTGGCCTAACCAAGACTTGGCACTAGGCTGTCAGACTCCAAAGCTCATTTACTACTCCACTCTATTACTTATCTTTGGGTAAATATGGAAGCATTACATTGCCAAGGGCAAGTGCTATACAAATGAACATTATTAATATTATAATAACCATAATAAGGGTCATGTACAACCTTAGGGATAATTTTAATGTTAGTACACAAACCTGTACTTTTTATTACTGAAGTTTCTTTGGAAATACATTTTTAAAAAGTAAATACAGCAAACACCATATTTTTTAGGCAGATTTAGGTGTAATGCATGGTAGATACAACTGGGAATGTTTCCTTCTTCTGTTGATGTGGTGAATACTCACCATTATTTCAAAATGATACTGAGATACCCTTGTTTGTATGTATGGAAATATACATAGTAAGAGTCTTCTCAAATCATATGCTTTCAAATGCTACATGTCTTCCTAACACTTCCATTATATAACTATTGTCGTATTTTAACAGCAAAAGACCCAAGACTATATCCATAGATGAAAATATGGAACCAAGTCCTACAGGAGACTTTTATCCTTCTCCGAATTCACCAGCTGCTGGAAGTCGAACATGGCATGAAAGAGATCAAGGTGAGTGTTACAAAAATGTCTCTCAGGACATTAGGATAAAATGTTGGCTCATTGCAGACATCCCATATATACTGAAAATTTTATAATCAAACCAATATGGATTATGTTTTCTTAATGAAATGATTTCAGTAGAATTTTTTTTTTAAGATAATATACTCATCACGTTTTGTAAGTTACCAAAAAAAAAAAAAAATCCCATTTGTTTTACATGTTTTATTGGACTTCTTTTTTTTAAAAGACAATTTTTTTGAAGCCACAGTTGTATTCATGACTGATTATGCTATGTCCACATTATGGTTGGATTGCAGTAGAACCACAAGTTCTGATTCAATTAGATCAGTTTGCTCCTCTGTATGGGGGTTATTTGAAGGAGGAGCCAAATGTTAGCAGTTCGCAGGTACCAGGAACTAAAAGTTCCCATTTAAAGGAAGCCATCTCAAATTCCCTTTGGAAGTAGGCAGAGTGTAAACAATAAATAAAAGTGTAATGTAAGCAGTATTGGGACTGAGTCAATCTAGTTTTGCTTTTTGGATAAAACTGTGACTCAATTATAGGGCAGCTTTAGGGCAACTGTAAGCAATAGCTATTATTAGACTCTCTAAGTTCAGATTTAGCTCTTTTCCTTTTTAATAGTTTTTTGGATTAAATATATTTTATCAGGCATACCCATATCTTTTTTCCCCACAATTATAGGGAGACCATTAAACATGGAAATAAAAAAATTAGTTGATTGCAATTTGCATGTGTATCTTTGCACACATGTACACAAATGCAATTTTATATTGGCAGCATTTTTTGGTATTTCAAAATTGTCTTTTAAATAAAATTCTGAATTGTACTAAGAGTGAAAAAGAAAGGAGCACTTTATCATTATCATGAGTTTTCTAGCCCAAAACTTGGGTGTGTGTATGTGGGGGAGGCAGGCTGTATGTTCAGTAATCTCAGAAGTCAAACAACTGTGACACTTAGCGGTTAAGGCCAAAGTCAATTCCTTAGTTAGGATTTCTTTGTTGCTGCTCAGAATTTTCACACTGAATGTTACAGAGGTTAAATAATAGTGAATATTCGTCATGGAGAAACTGGACTTTGAGTCAGGTAGGTTTCCTGTAGCATACTGGTATTTTAACTAGTAAAGAAGGAAGTGAGGGTGGGGATGGTGGACAGGGAAAAACATAGAGCCATGCATAAGATGGGGAAGTAAAGATGGTGTTGGAGAAGGGCCATGTGTGCCATGTGGCTGGACTCTGGGCCTGGGGAGGGAAGTCTTAGGAGATGGCAGAGGCCATTTTATAGAAGGACTTGAAAATCAGCTGAGTAGATTGGGCTCTTCTGAGATACCTCAAATCTGTCTTCAAGTAGCAGACATTTCATCTCTATGAAATGTTAATGACTCCATGTCAGTCCCTTACTTCACACCCTTGTGTGACTTCCCATTGCTCTCAAGAAAAAAATCAGAATTCCCTCATGTGACCAACTGGTCTGTGAGTTGTCCTGGCCTGTGACCATCTCTTCATGCTCAGTGGGTGTCGTGTTACCTCTCCCTGCAATGAGCCCATTGCTTTGTTTAGATTTGGGAATGCAAAATCCAGGACCATCATGTAAGCATGCCCTCTGGAAGGCTCTTCCTCTGACTTCATCTGGCAAATTTTTTGTCATCATTCAGAACTTAGCCTAAATTGAGGAATTTCACTCTAAATTAGTTCTTCCTATTTTTCTCTCTCAGCACTCAGCATTGTTCCCTCATTGTACTTATAAACTGTAGTTACATATTACATGATTAATCCTTTAAATCTGACTGCATTATGAGGGCAGGGATCTTAACTGTTTTGGCTGCTCCTGTAACCAGCACCTAGCATGGTATGTGGCACATAGTTGGGCAAAATAAATATTTGTTGGGTAAATGAACCATTGATAGGCAGAACACCAGTCTCAATAGTGAAGGCAAAAAATAATAGGGACTTTGAGTAGAGTTATAGAAGGCAGAATAAAAACAACACCGTCAACCCTTCCTATTTTATTGCTTGTTTTACTGACATTGTCAGTTTGTTCTAAACAAAGCCATATTTTGCTTTTCAGAAAATTATTCTGGAAATGATTCTAATGGTAATAATAATAACATGAATGTGTGGGAATGGATGTGTTATTCAGGAGTGTAGGTGTTCTTTATTATAGAGAATGTCACGTTGTGTAAGAGTCGATTCCTCTTTCAGCCTATTTAAGAAAGCCAATCTCAAATCATATTATAAAACATTTTTGAAAAGTAGAAGGGAAACTGTCATTCTTCTTCTTTGTAAAATCATTGTATTGTCTTGGTGATTTTCTTTTGTCAAGATGACTGGAATTATTGGAGAAGTCTGTAAAGGCATATTAAGAGTAAGAAAGAATGATCCATTCTCAAGTGTGCTTAAAAAAACTCTTGTCACTTTAATTCTGAAGACCCTGAAGACTTTGTAATGTGCACAATAAGCCATTGTGGGAAAGAAGACTTCAACTACAATGAAAAAATGAGGGCAGTACAGTACTATCTTTATAAATTGGCTAAGCCCATTGCAGTTCTTTTGTTCTTAGAAAATTGCTTTCTTAAGATTTGCAAAACAAAATGCCCTATGGTTGTTCTTGTCCATCTTAAATGTTCTTCAGGCACACTTGCCTGTTGTGTAGAGAGCTTTCTGATGTACATATTGAGGACCGCTCTGATATTCATAATTTTTCATTTCTCACAAAGCCCTGTACTAATTGGTACTCATTAGCCACTTACTGGTTCATTAAAATATACTTGCATTTATAATTGGCAGACATGTTTAAAATTTTCTATTGATTACTTCCTAGGAGCTCTGGTAGCATAGTGCCTAAGGCACTTGACTGTTCACCAGAAGGCTGGCGGTTCAAACCCACCAGCCACTCCTTGGAAGGAAGGTTGGGCAATCCTACTTCCGTAGTGATACTGCCTTGGAAACCCAAGGAGGGGTCGCTATGAGTCGGGGCCGACTCGATGGCAAACATCAGCAACAACAACAACATTGATTACTTCCTAGATATGCTTTATTTGGTTAGTGTTAACTTTGCTTTAAAATCTATTCTTGCAATAGCACTTAGCAAAACTGATTTTTGAAATATGAGAATCAATAATAACAAAATTATGGATAATATTGACATTTTTCTTTCCCTAGCCATCTGAATCCCTAAACTAAATCCTGGAGACTTACTTCAAGTAGGTGAGAGTAAAGTGTATAATATGAAAATATTACACCATTCATTTTTTAAAAATTAGGCAAAGTATTTAAATGATATCTAGATTCATGTAAAGGCTCTCTGGTGGTGCAATGGTTAAGGCATTTGGCGGTTAACCAAAAGGTTAGTGGTTCAAACCCATCAGTTGCTCTACGGAAGGAAAATGAGGCAGTCTGCTTTCATAAAGACTTGAAGCCTTGGAAACCCAATGGGGGTCGCTATGAGTTGGAATATGTTAGCATGTTACAAATATAATTAAATATATATTTGTGGCTTTTCAATACCCACAAAAGTTTTAATTTCTTGGTCATAAAAGAATTTCAATTTGTAATTTTACAAACTACAGACTAACATTTTTAAACTAAACACTCTTTAATAGTGTTAAACATTTGATAGGAAGGTATATAATTTGGCTTATTTCTTCTGATAAATAGTGATATAAATTAAATCTGTCCCCATCCATAGTATACAATTTTTGTTTTTGCATTTTATGTTCTTTTATACATACAGAAGGGAAGACAAAAGAAAAGAAATCCAGACCAATAGCAAAGGGGTATACATTAAGTCTTACAATCCTTTCTTAAGTATTAGGGTATTTCTACTTACGTTAGTGTCTCCTCACTGCCTCTACCTCTCATAAAAACTTTCTTCTTTGGATACTGTTTTGTGTCAGTTTAGATTTTAATGGTTAAAGCCTATCAAGGTTCAGGTTGAAAGTATCTTTTAGTCCAGTAGTTACCTTCAAAAAATTCCATTTGAATTTTTAAAAACTTAATTTTAAAAAAAATATGTATCAAAACATTTACCATTTCAACCATTTTTTATGTATATAATTCAATAATGTTAATTACATTCGTCATGATGTGCCACCATCACCACTCTCCATTTCCAGATGTTTTCATTACCCTGAGCAGAAACTCTGTACCCCTTAAAATAGCTCCCCTTTTTCCCTTTCCAGTCACCCCTGGTAACCACTAATAAACTCTAGTACCTATACATCACATTTGAAGTCATTTTTTTTTTACCTGAATCAACTCAGAGATTTATTTATTAGGTGATGTACTTTTTTTGAAATCATTAGAATGGTCCTTGATTTTCTTATATAAGAGGAAAAAAAATAAGAGATAGGTATTAGTTTTTCTCTAATTCAGGTTACTGTCATGAAAATAAATCTAATATTATTTCTGTGCCCAAGAATCAAACAGACTAATAATTCCTATGCTTAAAGATTGGAAATAATTCTTTATCAAGATCTCTTTTGTCATTGCTATTATAATAGTCCCTGAATCATCTAAGTCTGAATATAAAACACTTAAAATATTATTTAATAGGTATTTGGTGAGAAAAATATAGCACGGTAAAGATATATTTATAAGATACACCTGGGGGTTTCTAAATAGAAGATTTAACAGATTGTCAGTCTTATGAGTATTTAAACAACTTGTAATCTAAGATAAAATGTAAATACGAAAAGATTGCTATGTATTAAGTTTTAATCAATGTCTACATATTTAGGATTGGAGATAAATTTGGTTCAGTTAACATTTATCAGATGCCTATTATATACCAGACATGTTTCAAGGAATTGGTCACACAAAGAGATAAAATGAGTTTCCTAGTATGGTTTTTTGGATTGAGTTGTTGACCTGATGAGCAGGAAAATAATGCCTTACTGTTTATGAAAGAAGGGACTTGATGGAAAGTAAATAATGTAAACCAAGTAAATAATGTAAACCAGATCACGAGTGGACTCTTTCCATGCTTAAGAG